CACCCAGGCACCGGTGGGAGGGCCATGGACAGGCAGCGTGGCCACCTACAGCTCTCATAGCCTAGGAACTGCTGGGCAGAACGTGATGAAGAGCTGTTTCTGCCTGCAAACTACCCACTGCTGCCGAGGGAGAGGCACCAGAGGGGCACCAGGAGGGATCACAGCAACCATCAGGCATCTTATGCTGCATCAGTGCCCAAACTCTGTTCTCCAAGGGGAAAACAGGAGCCAGTCTCCAGGTCACTCCGTGTGGAGCTGGGCCTTCTGCCTGGAGGTCACCAATGCTGCTGTTTGGGTTTGAACCAAACTCTGCCATCATGAACCTGAACATCACGGTCACTGTGCCACAAGTGCTTACACTGAGCCCAGTTTTCAAGCAGTTCAGAAATGCTCCTGCCCATGCAAATTTAATTTCACTGCTCTTTGCTCCCACCAAATCTAATCTCCAAAGCCCTGTAACTGGATTTCAGTGGGTCTCCCAGGCTCCAGGACGGCTCAGTCTGGCCAGGGGGGGACTGCACTTCCCCACCGCTGTGATCTAATGAACTCCTCGAGGCCTGGCTGAGGCAGATCTTCTCTGCACAGGACCAGGTTCCTGTGTAACACTTCCCATCCCCTCCTGAGGCTCTTCCACGCAGCTCCCCTGCACTTTTACAAGCCCGAAATCAACTTTTTTTTGTTTTCTTTCCTCCTCTAACACCCAAAGCCTCCTCTCCCCCTGTGCGAGAGGGGCAGGAGCAGCCTCGGGAAGGGGCAAGACGGGGGTGCAGACGGGGAGGTTTGAACATGGAGAGGGAACTCAGCACCCCCAGACGGGAGCCCAGAACCCCCAGAAGGAGCTCAGCACCCCTGGGAGTTCAGCACCCCAGAAGGAGCTCAGCACCCCCAGATGGAGGCTCAGCATCCCTGGGAGTGAGCTCAGCACCCCTGGAGGCGGCTCAGCATCCCCGGAAGGGGCTCAGCACCGGGCGCCGGGCAACCTCCGCGGCGGACGCGGGGAGCCGAATGCCCAGTGGCGGCCGTTACCTCCGTTACTGGCCGCGCCGGTCCCTCCTCGCTCCCCTGCAAGGCCGCGATGCCCCAGGAGGGACCGCCTGGGCCGAGCCCCGAGTGGGGGGAGGCGGCACCGCACGGCCACAGCCCGGGCCTGCCGCCCCGCCGGCCCCCGGCGCCGCCGGCGCTCACCTTCGCGGGCCTTGAGCAGGACGGTGTTGGCGACGATGTTCTCCAGCTCCATGGGCCCGGTGGCGGCTCCGGCCCCGGCCCCGCTGCCCGCGCTCGGCCCGCGCCCGCCGCCCCCCGCCCGCCCCGCCGGCCCCGCCCCCCGCGCCCGGCCTGCCAATCCCCGGCCACGCTCCTCCCGCGCCGCCCTCCCGTTGGCCCCGCGAGCTGCGGGAGGGCGGGGCGGGGCCAGGGGAGCACGCGGCCATTGGCGGAACGCTGCCGGGAAGTGGAGGCGGGCGCTGATTGGAGAGTCAGGTGTCACTCAGGGGGAACCGGGAGCGGATTGGACTAGAGGCAATAGCGCCCGACACGAGAGGAGACCCGCCTCTTGCTGCATCTGATTGGTGAATGATCTGCCACTCAGCTGCAAAGTGGGCTGTGATAGGGTGTTCAGTGGGGGTGGGGCCGAGAGGCTTTTTATGATGAGCACTGGGGCTGTCCCGGGTCCTAGCGCCCCTCGTCCGCCTGCAGGGATGGTCCTGGTGCTCACACGGATCTCTGCGGTGTCCTGTGCCCTCCTCACAGAACCAGCTACGTGTTTAGGAGCGCCTTCCCGCTCTTAGTAGACGGGCGATTTGCTTCAATAAAGTCCGAGCGTGTGCCCGGTGTTGGTTAACCCCGGCGTCAGGGTGTGGGAGACCTGAGCTCCGGTGCTGTGCCCGGTCTCCCTGGTCACCGCTGCCATGGAGGTCTGGGTTTTCCTCATCCCCCAGTGCAGCCTCTATTTGCTGGGACCGAGCCCGTTCTGGTGTTTGAGCTCCCACCGGCTTTTCCCCACCCCTGATTTGCTCCAAAAGCAATCTTGTTTGTTTGTTTGTTTTTTACTGGTACTTTAATGAGCAGCAGAGTGACCACGTCTGAGGAGAAGCTGCGGTGAGGGAACCTCTTCTCCCCTGATCCCCAGCAAGAACGTCCTTGTTTTCCCTGCAGAGCTGGCTCGTACTCGAGCACCCCTTGATGACCTGTCAGCCCTGCAGGTGACCTGCCCACCTCCCTGCCCCTCCGTGGTGTAAAACGGCTCGTTGATCCTCTTAACCGAGTGGTGTCTGCCCTGCTTTGTGCTCCTTCTGGCTTCCGAGTGAGGACGTCATATCTGCCTTCCCACGGCCCCTGTCACTTGCTCCAGCCCACGGGTGATGTCTCCGTCCTGCCCTCCCTGCGAGTTTGGAGGTGGCCAGGGCATGGAGGAGAACACGGTGATGGGCAGGTCCCTCCATGGTCTCTGTCAATGGCAGCCCAGGTCCCCAGGCTCTGCTCCCTGAGCAGGAGCGAAGGGTTTCTGTCCTTGGGCTGTAGCAAGGTTGATAATAACACAAATTACATCAAGCACTCATTGTCCATGCAGCTGATACTGCCTGTGGTCCCCTTCAGCATCCACTGGAAATCAGGCATCACACCTTCTGGTTACGAGCCTGCAGTGATTATGAGGAGGAGGAGGAGGAGGATGCTTTGCCCTGCCACACCTTGGAGGTGATCTCCCTGTCACTCTGCCTGGAGGGATGAGCTCATGCTGTGAGCTTTCCTCTTTTAGAGCTGTTTTCCTCTCAAAGTGGCACATGCTTATTTTGAACTTCAAAAGGAATGACTTTGTTTCCATTGCTATTTTCTGTTTCCTCCCAGCTGATGTTTTGCAGCACCACCACCGACAGGAGTCATGAGCCAAAGGGCACCGTCAGAGCAGCACCAGTGTCCAGGGAATCTTGATGTCCTCAACAGAGCCAGAGGCAGCCGAGGTGGTAGAACTAGCACTCCCCTTTTTAGCTCTGTGGAGGGAACATGGCTGGAGAGGGAGAGGGCTCTGAACTCAAGCTTGTTGGGGAGTAATTCAAAACAATCTTTGGAAATTGAAGAAACAGCCTGAAAACGCAGGATGCAATTCCAGGCACAGGTGCTGCAGTTGGACAGCAGCAATCAGCACTTGGAGGGGAGCTGCTTTCCTGGTGGTGCTGGGGTCATGACGGCTCACAAGCACAGCAGTAATAAGGGTCATGCTGTGGCAGATGAAACGGACTTTACAAGCTTAGAATGGAAATGTCTGCTACAGAGAGACGGAGGGATCTGGTCAACCCTGTGCAGAGGGGATGATGTGCTGAATGAGGATACAGCAGGGGATGCTTGGTGAGGGAGCTATTCCTGAACATCCCAAGTAGCACCTGGGGGTAAGAGGGGGACCAGGTGCTCCCACACCCCATCCAGCTTTCAGGATTTGATGTTTTGCACATCACCTTCAGTGGCTTGCATGTTGCTCTGATGTGCAGGCGGGGCCTTGCCCAAGCAGAGAGGTCCCTGAGTGCCCCCACTCCAGCTGGTCCCTGGCCTCTCCTGCCCTGCGGCATCCCTGAGCCATGTGCTCATGCTCAGGAGGAGGGACGGTGTCTGGTGTCCTGCCCAGGGTGCATGGCCAGGGCAGTGTGGGGCCCCAGGGTGCTGCCCATGGGGCTGGTGCTCCTCTGAGAGCTGGCCTGGCCTGGTCCCCACAAGTCACCCTCATCTCCCAGATATTTTTAGAAGCAAAGTGCTGTTTAATTGTGAAAAGGCAGCTGCGGGAGGGGAAGCCGGGCGACAGCGATAGGGCAGCTCCTTCCGCAGGCAGTACCAGTGCAGCTCCTGCTGCCTCCGGGGGTCAGCGCCGGGCCCCATCCCAACCTGATTCCTCTGGGAACCTCTGCTGGCTCCAAACCTCACACCATGAGCCTCCACACATGGGGCCAGCAGGTGCAGGGAATGGCCCAAGGATCCTTGCCACAGCCAGTACCCCCATCCTGCTCAGCCCCCTCGTGCTCCACAGCAAAGCTGTGCTCACCCCAGCGGGGGCTGGCAGGGGCTGGTGGGGGCCAGTGTTCCTTGGGTTCCAGCTCCCAGGCGCCAGCGGCTGTTTTTAGCTGAGTTCAAGTCCAGTGTTTTGAGATTTTCTATTTTGAGCAGCAAAGCTGAAGAAGTGGAGCAGCCCCTGACCCCCGGCTGTCTGTGCAGAGCGGGGCAGGGAGCCAGGCAAGGCGGGTGTGGGGTGGCTTCTGCCCCTGGGGGAATGTGGTTGTCCCTGGGTCTTCGCCCCACAGCTGCTTTCGTGGCCTCTTGCACGTCAGGCTGTGCCGGAGCCTGTTCCCGTGTGATCCCATCTCCCACACTCTCCCGAGGGAGGCTGGCCTTTCCGGCACTGAGATATCATTCCTCCTATCCCTCCTGCAGCAAGATCCCAGTGAAGCCACTGAGCAGCATGTGTTGAGTCCCGCTCCAGACCCACGCCCCTTGTACCCCACCATGGGTACGTGTGTGCCCCCACAGAGCTCCTATTACATGGCACAGCTGGAATGTCCCCAGGGGACACAGCCCTGGCAGAGAGGCACAGGGCTCGGAATGGGCTGCTGTTGAGGCACAACCAGTTCAGCCCAGTGCTGGTCACGCTGCCACATGGAGGGTTTCATCCCCCTGCATCATCTGTGGGGCCCATACCCTGCTCAAGAGGATGCTGGGGGACACGCCTGGCAGTAGGGAGGGCTGGTACTCACCAGAGCTGCCACAGTGAGTTGTCACCACCAGTGTTGCCAGGGGTACAGGTGGGGTGATCCATGTGACAATTGGTGCCATTTACTGGGCTCCCAGAGCAGGCAGACACCAGCCCCAGGCATAGGCTTTGGTCTTGTTTTATTCAATCCCGCGCCTCCAGAACCACCTCAATCTGTGCACTGGCACTGCTGTCCAGAGTCTGTGGTGAGGCCGGGTGCTGCCAATGGTTAGAGAGGTTGGGGCCATGTCTCCAGTGTCCCAGCAGGTCCTCAGGTGTGGGGCCGACGTGGGATGGTGAGGAGCCGTCGGAAGGCAGCACGGAAGTCCCGGTTGAAGAGGGTGTAGATAAGGGGGTTGAGGCTGCTGTTGCAGTAGCCGATCCAGAAGAAGAAGTTGAAGAGGGGCTTGGAGACATGGCAGCCCTCTCCACAGACAGCCCCCAGGCTGTAGGTGAAGAAGAAAGGGAACCAGCACAGCACGAAGGCCCCCATCACCACGGCCAGCACAATGGTGAAGCGCCGCTCCCGTGCCCGCACCAGCCGCCGCCGGCAGAGCAACACGCTCTGGTGCTGGCTCCGGCACCGCCACCGTGGCATCCCAACACCTGAGACCTTTCCATTGCTGGTAGGGCGTGGGGAGCGGGCGGCGAGGAGGGCGGCCGTGCGCTGGGCAGTCAGGCGGTAGATGCGGCAGTAGACGGCGACCATGACGAGGCAGGGGACAAAGAAGGAGGCAGCACAAGAGGCCAGCACGTACCAGGTCTCCTGGCTCAGCTGGCACTCCCGACCCCCCGGCCGTGGCCGCAGGAGCGGCGGCAGTGCCACCAGGGCCGCTGATGCCCAGACTGCCCCGATCATCCCCTTCACCCGCCGCGGGCTGCGGCGCAGGTTGAGCCGTGCTGCCCGTGTGACGGCCCAGTAGCGGTCGAGGCTGATGGCACAGAGGTGCCCGATGGACGCGGTGCAGAGCAGCACGTCCAGCGCCAGGTACAGGCTGCACCACAGCCCGCCGAAGTACCAGTAGCCCATCACCTCGTTGGCCAGCGAGAAGGGCAGGACGAGGACAGCCACCAGGATGTCTGCCAAGGCCAGGGACACTAGGAAGAGGTTCTGTGGAGCCCGCAGAGCCCGGCTGGTGGAGATGGCCACCACCACCAGTGCATTGCCCACCAGCGTGGCCAGCAGGACGGCCAGGGCAGCCAGCAGGATGAGCCCTGTGGCTGTGGGCGAGTGTGGGGCGTTGCCGGTGCTGCTGCCAGTGCTGCTGCCATTACTGGAGGTGTTGGAAAGGGTGCTGGCTGCCTCCATGCTGGCCTGGCCCTTCAGGCAGACAGGGCCTCATGGGGTGTCCCTCCAGCCCACTTACCGGACCCACGGTGGATGTGGGCGCAGCCCCAGCATTGCTGTGTCCCCAGAAGAGTGCCCCGGCTGCCACCGCTCCTGCACTGACCTGATCTGGTGGCGAGGCAGAGGTTGTTCTGGCCCAGCGGTCTCCCGGACAGGCATGTGGGATGGCCGCGGTTCCGGGAACACAGAGAGGCTCCCACGGCAGCGCTGCTGGCTCTGTTGGTCCCAGTATGGGAGGAGGGCGGGCGGGAAGGAGGGAGGGAGGGAAGAATGGGCTGATATCACTGGCAGGAGCCCAAACATCTGTGGGCAGTGGGAGAAGTTGTTATTGCCAACACTTAAAGGGCTCCCTCCAGGGTCACTGTGGAAGGAGGGCTCCCGCCATGGGTGCCAGGGTGCCAGGTAGACCAGGAGCACTGCCCAGCTGTTCTGGGTTGACATCCTGCTGACTCTCAGCCCAGCAGCGCTGCAGCACCCCAGCACCTCACTGCCTGCCCCGTGCTGTGCCTCGCTCAGTGGCACACGCTGCTGTGACACAAGATGGGCCGCCACGGACCATGGCAACTCAGCCCCCTGGAGACGAGGTGAGTGGAAGGAGCTGCCCGTGACACATCTCCGAGCAGCTGTCTGCAGAGTGCAGGGTTTAGCTGTGGCACCCTCAGCATGTGCCCCACAGCACCAGCAGCACATTTGGTGTATCCCCAGCACTGGCACTTGCCTGGGGCCAGGCTGAGCAGTGACAGAGTGTTGAAAAGGGGGAGGATGATAGGTGTCTGGCACCTGTGGCTGCAGCTGGGGTTCCACAGGGTTTGCAGAAGCAGGAGCCAAAGAGACACACCCTGGGGCATGGGCACTCGGCCTTTATTGAACACCAACTGAGCAGGGATGTTAGAAACCGGCGGCCACGGGAACAGGAGCCCAGGTGTGTGGCACCAGCTAGAGCCGGGTGGCACCATGCGGGAGTGGGCGAGGGGAGCCCACCCGGATGGTGGGGCTGGGCATCTCCTCGGGGTAGGAGAGCATGGGGTTGTCCAGCCCCAGCCTGGCCTTGTCCCGGGGAGGGCCCTCATGCTCCTCCCAGCCCTCAGGGCTGCGGCAGCGGTCAGTACAGCAGAGAGTGGCCTGGGTGATGACCCGGTCGAGGGGCTGCAGCGAGTGCATCCAGGCGGGGAGGAAGTCCCAGGTCTGCAGCCATTTGGGCAGGCGGCCAGGGCTGTGTGCCTGCAGCGCGTTCACCAGCCCCACAAAGAAGAGGAGGCCGAGGAAGGGTGCACCCACCCCCACCAGCGCTCGCCAACCCGCCATGGAGATGCCAAAGATGAGGGAGGGCAGCAGGAGGAAGCAGATGATGAGGTACAGCACGGCAAACCAGCGGTACTTGGCTGTGCGCTCGCCCAGAGCCTTGGCCATGCGGATGGGCAGGCGGGTGAAGGGCAGTGGGTACCACAACAGGATGCCAGAGATGTTGAAGAAGAAGTGGCAGAGAGCAATCTGTAGGAATAGCATCCTGGTTGGGCTGGGCACTTGGGCTTCCCCAGCCCCTGCCTTGCCTGGTGCCCTCAGCAAGAGCAGCTGTGGCCCCAGGCTGCATGTACCTGGAAGGAGCTGGCCAGCTTGTCCCCTGGGCTGGCCAGGGCAGCCAGGATGGCGGTGGTGGTGGTACCAATGTTGGAACCCAGGGTCAGCGGGTAGGCACGCTCAAGGCTGATCACTCCCAAACCTGCGGGAGAGGCACCCCATCATGTCCCATTGTTCCTCACCAGAGCCAGCCCCACATTCTCCCAAGGAGGTACAGCTCCTCCCATCCCTCTGAGTGCCATAGCACCCACAGGCCAGCGCAGCAGGGATCAGCACTTGGCAGGGGACCAGGCATAGCTGGGACTCACCAATCAGGGGTGTGATGGCTGATGTGAAGACAGAGCTGCTCTGCACCACAAAGGTCATCCCAGCACCCACCACCATGGCGAAGTACCCAGTGAGCCAGCTGAGAGGGTGTGGGAGGTCTGCCACAGCATGGCCATGGGCACAGGTGTGGACACAAACATGGACATGGGCATGGACACACCAGTTAGGAGCAGCCCAGAGCTCCTACATGGTGCTGGGTAGAGGCTGTGGGACCAGGCTCTAGGTATGGGTTCAGGCTTGGGTATGGGGCCAGCCTAGAGGCTGGGATAGCTGGGGAAAAGAGGAAGGGGACACCCGGAGGCCATGACAGCCATAAGCAGAGTGAGGATCAGGGACAGGCAGGGGACATGTGGGACAGGCAGGGATGGGGGGCAAGGACAGTCAGGGACAAGTCTGAGGATGGCAGATAGGAATGGGGATGGGTGCTAGTGTGGCAGATGGTCCCTGTCCTACTCACCAGTGTTGATGACTTTCTGGATGGCTTTGGCCACCTGCCCCTTGAGCAGGGAGTTGAGGAGTTTGACCAGGAGGATGAGGCAGGTGCAGAGCACGACGAGGGACCCGGCCAGCAGAACCAGCCCCACGGCCAGGTCGGGCAGTGGTGTGTCGGTGAAGAGGTGCTCGCCTGCCCCACAGCATGGCTGGGCGAGGGGCTGGGGCTGGCCCGGCCCCACTCACACACCTGCCCCCGCAGATAGCCCCACACCTGGACCCCAGCCCCAAAATCTCCCAGTCCTGCCCCACATCATGAAGCTAGCACTGCTCCATCCCACGTACAGCCCCCCAGCCCTGCCTGCATCTCCCCAGCCCCATGTCCTGTGCCCCAGCCCTGCCCAAGCTCCCCACACCCACTCACACTTCTGCCTGGTGACGTTGTGGAGGATCTCAATGCCTTTAGTGCTGCAGTGGCCAGGGGCTGTGCAGTTCGGGGGGGGCCCAAGCCCCACAGCAGCCATCTGCAGGGAGAGGGTGGGCTGCAGCTGTCTCCACAGTATCCTCAGCCAGCCCCTGCCCACCTCCTCCTCCATGGGATTGTTTTGTGGCCCCAGCAGGGCCATGGGCCCCTCACCTGTGGAGATGCAGGGCCACACCAGACACGGATGAGGCTCCGGTTGCGCAGGCTCTCATCCCCTGTTGCAATGCCAGTGATCACCGACTTGTCCAACTGCAAGAATAGACATTGGTGAGGGCCCTTGGGAGCTAACAGCACTCAGAACTTGGGGATATCTTCACTGGGATTGGGACACCAGCCAAGGAGACCTGGATGATGAGCTTGGTGAAAGGCTCTGTGATGATCTTCAGCAGGTCAGGGGCATCCTTCCCACTGCGGATGTTGAAGGTGGCCACGACCAGGCGGGTGACGTGGTGCAGGTACCCACTCACCACCTCCAGCGGCAGCAGGACCAGCACTGACAGCCAGTTGAAGCAGTCATGCACTGTGGCACCGGCAAAGGCTCTGTCAGAGTAGAGGAGCCCATTGGCATGGGCTGGCCCTGGGGAGCAGCCCCCAGCCCACCAAGTGTCCTCTGACCCGAGCAACTCTCACCGTTTGAACTCACTGCGGTCGCCAGCCTGCATGAGGGCCACGATGGTGTTGGTGACGGAGGTGCCGATGTTGGAGCCCATGATGATGGGGATGGCAGAGCGCACCTCAAGCACTGGGGACAGAGAGACCCTGTGCCTCGCATGTCTTGACTCAGGGTTACCCCATCCAGCCACCCTGTACCGCAGCCTCAGGTCCCCAGGAACCTTGTGGCACACTCACACCCTGAGGAGACCATGCTGACAATGATGGAGGTGGAAGTGGAGGAGCTCTGCACCAGCACAGTTACCAGGATGCCCACCACCAGCCCAGCCACCGGGTTGGAGAGGATGGCATTGTCCTTGAAGATGTCCCCTGCCACCTTGCCTGCAACAGAATGTGAGCAGCAGGCTGCTGGCACTGCAGGTGCCACCAGACGCCCAGGAGTCCCTGCCACCCTACTACCTCCAGCCAACTGGAAGGCAGAGCTGAGCACATCCAGGGAGCACACGAAGAGGTACAGGAAGCCAAACATCAGGGGCACCTTGAGAAGGGAGACACAGATGGACTGGACCCTGGTCCAGCACCCGATCTCTGTGCAAGACAAGAGAGAATGTTAAATGCATGCTGTGGCATGGCCCTGGCTCCCTGGGCTCCCGCAGCCCTACACCATCCTCCTGGCCCCCAGCAGCACAGGGCTCACGTCCCCAGCTATACCACCACTCACGGGGTCTCCTCTCACCCTAGAGTGCCTTGTGCCAGCTGCTTCTGTTGTCCCTCAGCTCTTCCCACGTCACCCCAGAGAGCTGAGTGTTGCCCCACGCTCCTCTCCCCATCTTGGCACCCCACACTCCTGGCACTCCAAGCTCCCCTGGGTGCCTTCAGCAGGTCTTTGGGGTATTCCCCAACCCAGGTGCTCTATACCCGCCACTCATAGGGTCTCACCTGGCTTCTGCAGCTCGTCCAAGCCCAGCCGGGGCCCCTGCCAGGGCAGTGCATCCAGCTCATAGCGCTCCCTGCCCTCGCGTAGGCGCCCCGGGGAGCCAGGGCAGGGGAAGCCGTGGTCAGGGCAAGGCACAGGACCAACGGTGAAGGGGCAGGTGTGGGCACCCGGCAGCCGGTGCAGAGCTGGGGAGAGGGGTCACCCACGTTACAGCCTCGTCCTTGTGGTGAACCCCCCTGCAGAGAAGAGCCCAGCACTGCCTGGGCCAGGATCTGGCCAGAAGCAGAGCTGAGCCTGGTGAGGTGAGGAAGCGGTGGGGGCACCTACCTTGGGGGCTGGGGCAGTAGGCAAACTGGGGCCCATGAACCACCCTTCCTCCCCGCACCGGGCAGTGGGGCAGGACTGGGCTCTCCGTCCGGTAGGGCAGCATCGCTCCTGTTGAGGCTGAGCAGAGGTGTCACCATGGCTGTGCTACACTGACTGCCACATCCCCCCGAAACCCTGCAGTACTGGCACCACTGAGGAGCACCATCTCATCACTTGATGGTCCTCTGGGCCACCAGCCACTGCTGTACCACCCCATCCATCTCC